AAAACAAACAAATCAATTTCTACTCAATATTGTAGAAGAACCAAAACAGGATGAGAACTTTATCTCACCTAAAAAATTTCAACTGTCAGAAGAGACAGAGTAACCAACTGTACTTGAAAAGTGTATCCTCCGTATCAAAGGAGCATTAAACCTTAGGGATGAATCTTTCCTCATTTCTGTATTATATAATGGGCAACATTTTTTTCCTCTCTGATAAAATAGAATTCATTAAAAAGTACACTAAATAAATGCTCACTTGAGAACAGGTCTCAACAGTTTGTATTAATACAAGATAATACATATGGACTTTAATAAATGGAATTTTCCATCCTTTTCCTCATCACCAATACCCAAGTCGAGCAGAGCTTTAATACAGCTGGTACACAAACTTACTATGTCAGCTTTTACTAATCTCACAGCAGGTGTGGCATGTGATGGCATTTCTCTTCAAAACTGTGACAGCATTCCAGAATTTGAATTCAAATCCAGCAGCCTTTTTTCCCATTAGGAAAAAAAAAAAAAAAAAAAAGGAATTTGTTGGAACTTGCTATCTCAGGGGTAAGATAGAAAGTTTTGCACCTTTATTTGAATCATGTAACCATGTATTTGGTAGGTGAACCAACAGACATTCAATGCAAATAATCACATAATTGTGTCAGGATGCTCTTCCTCTGAGCGCTGCAACTATGACAGGAGTAATGTTGTTTCTGCCCCTTACTGACAAAGTAATAATTCACTGGTATAATGGTAGTAAAATGGAATATTTCACATTTGACTGAAGGCTACAGTGTTCTCATTTACTCTCCCATCCCCCAGTCATCCCACTTTGGAAAGGGTTTAAATGCTCGACAATAAGATTAAAAAGCTTCTAGCGTGGCTTGCAATTGTGGTGTCACGTTAGCTTTTTATTTTTGGTAGTAACATTCAGATTATTCTCACAGAAATGTAATAAAATTAATTAGGCAATAATAAGTGAGACTGAGAGTGTATTACAGAGATTAAGAACCAGATGAGAGGTGGGACAGCACAAAGTCAACCTGAGGCCAGAACAACCTCAGTTAGTTATTCATTGTTCCAGGAAATACCTCACACGGAGATCTCTACTGCTATTAGAACCTGTTTGGAATTTTATTCAGAAGGAAAATAAACTTCTTCCTCATACGGCTTCAAATCCCTCTGAGTGCTACCAAAACAAATCCTCTGATAGTCTACGGCTGCTCTTAGGCTTTTCTAGAAAATCTGTCCTCAGAGAAGGATCAAAAGCTTCTCCCTCTGCCTTTCCCTCGCACACAAACCCATCACTCCCTATTGCGTTTGGGCTAAAATGCATCACGCTTTCATCTCGTTAGAGAAACGGTGAAAGCAGGGACGGACGGCCACGGACTTGGGCGGGGTTTCCATTCCAATCATTAAGAAAAGCAAACAGCCATACCAACAAATAGAAAGCCTGAGAACTTGAGAAAATACTATCTTCATGAACTGGGGAGGCCAGCAGCCACATCTGTCCACCTCTGAAAACTGGAACTGATTAAAGAGGTGGCAGCAATTACCTAAGAGCATGCAGTCAACGGTGCTTACGCCAGTTAAAGGAATACAACTGGATTATTCCTTTACAGGTTAATTTTAAGCCTGCCAACTGAGTGACCTACATTTGCTGGTCAAAGCAACTGCAAAAGGGGGCAAAACAAATACCTTCAGAAAAGAAACATTGTTTTGACATTCAGTAATACCCTCTTCCTTTCCATTGCTCACAGGCGCAGAAATGTTCTACGTCTGTGAAATGACCCTATGCAGGATGCAAAAAAGCACACCAGACTTTCACGTCAGCTTTGGCAACAGAATAAAGACCACAGAGCTATTGCAGTGTGAGAAGTCGATGATTTTTGGAGTATTTCCTCAGTGCAAATCTTTCCTCTCATTCCTCTTCAAATATGAAAACAGCTTTAGGGAAGCCCTTTCCTTATTAACATATTCCTTTAAACTTTTTATATAAGCCTGCTTCACTTATTTCATTATTCTGGTGACAAATGGAAATTGTTCTTTCCCCTAACAAGAACCACATATGCTGGTGCTCAGTGCAGCCCAAAGCACACTTCGCACTCCCAGATGTGCACCCAGAAGTTTGGCCTCAATCATGAAAACCCACTTGTAGAGAAAGAGATGGGGGAAACTGTTGGCATTGGAGCAGCAGTCAAGGACAGCTGAAACCAAATCAAAAAAACAACAAGGGTCTGCGCGTGTGATTCTCAACGGGTGAGTCCCACACTCCAACACATCCTACCTGGAGCCTAAGGCACCGCACGCATGTAAAACTGGAGCTTTGCCTCCTGTACGACTGAAACAGAAGATTGGTTTGCTTTCTTAAACTATTTGCTCTCCTTTGCAAGCCATAATTACTTTTTCATATATGATTCTTTTTAAAGCTGTCCAATTGCTTTGATATTTTTACATTATCCCTCCATATCCTATTTGTCCTTATTGTACACTGCAGGCATTTTATCTGGGTGAAAATATCTGGGCAGTGCTAATGGGAACTCAGCAATTCATCACTGAGGGGAGCTTCCTTCACTTCCAAGTGGATAACCCAGAGAAATATCAAGCTTTTTTGTGCATTTCCATCCTCATTACAGTGACTGATTAATTATTAACTTTAATTATTGGGGGGGAAGGGGAAAACAAAACAAAAAAAAACACTTAAAACACAATGATGAAAAGGCAGGGACTTAAACTTTCTTCAGCAATTAAGCTTCTTACTGGGAAACCTGTGCCCAGGAACCCTGTGTGGGTACCCTGGCTATAAAACAGTTACAGGGGACAGAGGAGCCACCTCCAGCTGTGGAAATAATTATTGCTCTGTGCCTAAACCCTTCACCTCTGCAATATCTCAAGTAATTCTTTCTCAGGCTACACACCACAATAAAACCTTGATATTCAAACTCATATTTCTTTCTCTTCAAAAAATCATAACTAATTTATTTGTGAAGTTTCTGAGTTAAGTCTTCTTTTCACTTTCATCAACTTTTAAATTGTCTAACTATACTTTTTCGGGATTGCTTTTTCCATTCTTGTATCAGCAAACCTTTACCATCTTAAATGCATTAAGCTACAGAGAGTTCACATTTCCCATTTTTTTCTGCTTTCCTGGTCAGCAGCCTGGATGTAGCCAGAAAACTTTTCTACTTGCTGATAAAAGATACAAATATGTTTTGCTGCTTTAAAGAACTTCCACTGCTGTCAAAACGTGTTTGCCTTGGAAGCCATCCAATTTTATCTTACCATGCTGTCAAATGCAAACTCATCTCAGTCACAAATCTTAATCCTTCCTCTATTGTTTTATGGAAGCCTGGAAAAACTAGAGCTTTTATATAAAGTCTGACACAGTAGTCAGGAATATTCACAGAAGCTTCCACTGCCTGTACACATTAGGAAAACGGAAATAGCCTCAAATTATTTTTTTCTAAATAGCCTCAAGCCAGTTCTTAGTAACACCCATTTATTGAACACTGAAGACTATTCTACAGTATAAAAATCATAGCTATAGTAGCTTACATTTTGAATTTAACTTTGTGTATATATGATAGGCACAGTAATGACCTAATGATCTGGACTTTGACAAGTCTAATAGTTTTCCTTAATTTTACATTCTAATACATCTCATTTTCAAGTCTTCATCCTGTTTTTACAGTTACTATTAAAGCATCTGAAAGTTATGCAATACAACAAGCTCTTAAGCCACCAGGGGCCTCCTAACACAAGATGGAAATTACTCATTACATAAATAGGCTTCATACCTCAGGTTGACCTTAAATCCATAGTCTTTTGCCAAGGGGAGAAGGGGGAAGTCTACTCAGTGGTTTGCACTGTGCTTAGGTAAGTACTGAAATTGTCAAAAGCAAAAGGATCTCTGCCATACAGGAAAGCAAAGACACAACAGACAATACAGTCTTTTTAACATTGCATACTGCAAGGCTCCTAACAATGTAACTTTTCTTCTGCACCACGACAGTGTTATTTTCTGCTCCTTCTCCTCCTGTTTTCCAGCCCTTAACCGCAGTGGTTGCTTCACCCCGTGCCAGTCCCCCCTGGCCTGCAGAGGCCACCAGAGCAGCCAGGAAGGCAGAGGCCGGGGCAGGGAGGCCGGTGGTGCCAGCAGGGCCGGGATTCCCCCGGAGGCGCCAAGGGGCTGGACAAGCAGGACTCTGTGCTGACAGCTCGAGGCCAAGCTTCCAGCATAGTCATAGCTCAGCTATGTACTACAGCCTGTATCTGTTACTCCACACTGGTGAGAAGCAAAACGTCACAGTAAATGACTGAATAGGAAAACAGAAAAAGAAAATATGTTTTCCCCCATGTAGCCATGTTAACAATACTACTAAAAACCTACCTCTGTCAGTCTCTGAATTTTATAAGGTAATCAGTGCAATATTAAAGTTATATCCAAAAGTTCTAAACTATCCAATTCTAAGGGTTTGAAAGAAAGGGAAAAGAAACCGTAATTAGAGGAAATTGCCAATACCCAGAAAGATCAACATTTGAACAACTTGCCCCAAGCACCCTTTGAAGTTTACGCTTCACTGCCACAAGCAGGAGGAGAACAGGTTAATTCTAATTTTCAAAGGTTCTTTAAGATGGAGAAAGTTTCCTGAGAGGCTTAGAGCAGCATAGAGTCATGCTGTCTTGGTACTTGCCTCAAAGTAACATTCTTTTTTTTTTTTTTTTCCTCCTCTCTTGATTTGGGTCAGTTATATGTGAGAACTATGGTTGACTGATTTTGCAAAATAATCTTAAAGTAAATGGCAAGTTTTGTTGTTGTTTTGAAAACTCCCCTCAGAAAAATCACTCCAAACACCTTCCAAAAGAGGACTGAGAGGGGAAGCACTAGAGAATTTCCATCTGCTGGAATAAATTAAAAATAATTAAAAAAAAAAGGCTAACTCTGGGCTTGTGTGCCATTCTTTAGATGCATGGTTCATAACAGGAATAAAATGCAGACACTGTACCTCTTTTCTGGCCTGGTGTTATGCCTCTGGGACTGAGAATGCCTGCTGCCTCTTAGTGCTCCTCTGCTCAGATGGCTGTTGTTGTGGCCTCCCAAAGAAAGAGGCGCCCGCAGGCCAGCCCAGGGCTGCTCCTCGTTTCGGTGAAGCGGCACAGATGTACGGATGGCAGAAATGACGTGGCCAGGATAAGCAGTCAGCGGGTCTTCGCGGTGGCGCGAGCTCGGATGAGCGAGAGTTCTCTCGGAGGCGGGGTACTGCCGGCCGGGCCTTCGGAAGCCCCTCTCCTGGTAGTAGGCGGGGAGGCAGGGCCGCGTCTGCTCCATCACCCCCCCGCTGCAGCTCCGCGAGCAGGCGGACCAGGGGCCCCAGCTGCCCCACACGCCTGGGATCCCCGCTCCGCTGTCTTCAGATGCATCTTGCTGCTCCTCTATCCTCTGGGGAACCTGCACACATAACCGACTGAATGAGGAGCTGGAATTCACGCTATAATACAAAGACAGCACTAACATCTCTAAGTCATGCACTCTGTGGTCACAGCAAGTGAAACTGAGCTACGCACCAAGTGGCTTCTCTTACTCATTCCCTCTCCCATGACTGTCTAGCCTGCTGGTACAGGAGGGTCTCCTAGAACCATCAGACCAAAATCTAGATTTGGACTGTCTATATAGGAACAGATTTCCTCAGCATGGAAAACATTGCTCAGTACAAAAGCTAGAAATTCAGAGATGGAAAACTATTATTTCAAACATAGTTAGGAACTAAAGTCATTTTTAATGACAATTTAGGTCAAGAGACACTGGCAGCACCTCCATCCAATGTCTGAACGATGGAAACTGCTCGTGGCAAACGCGGGCTGCAATTTGTATTTCAAGAACTCCCACATAAGATTCAACTTTTAAGAGGATAGGCTGATTTCCAATGCACCAAAATACTGCAATAGTAAGACGACACACCTGATCCTACATTCACAGAAATCACTCTCAAATTCATTAACAGCAAGACAGGGTAAGTTATTAGTCTTGTATATTTAATATCACTTAGTCTAGATTCATTATATAGCAGGACAGAGAAAAAAAAAGAGAGACTATCCCCCAAGACAAAGCTTTTTGCACTTGATATGGCTATAAGGGATTAGAAAAGGCAGAGACTATTGTTCTAAGGGGAATTAGCCCCTTAAACATATTTAAACACTCTGACTTTCTACCTGGCAGTATCAAGGCAGGCTGGAAGCTGCAGCCACCCATCCCCATCTCCTGGGACCGCTGCCCTAAGCTCCAGCCGTTCCTGGAGTGGGCTGCAGCCAGGATTTTGCAGCATCTCACATTGGACAGAGTGCTGGAATTTGCAGCACACAAATCTGAGCCTTTTGATTAAATGTAGTTCTTCTGTTGTTCTGTTTCTCCAACTGGATGAATCATAAGTCAAAGGCAGGCTTCTCAAACCCAATTCTCATGGCTATTAACAGGCAGTACTCTTTACACAAACATCTTTTCATAGCTTCATGAAATTGTACTCTGAGTAACCTTTGTACGAACACACACACATATCAATTATGAGATATAAAGGGATTAAGTGAGATTAAATCCACAACCATTTGCTTACCATACCTGTCCAGCCCTGCTCTAGTGCCTCAAAGGAGCTTTGGAAAGGCAGCCTCTGCACGCCGCTCCTGCTCCTCCAAAGGATGGTTTCCCGCCCAGAGAACCCTCTGGAGTCGCAGGTTACATGAGCGGTCGCCAGCTGAGCGGCAAAGCACCTGAGCCCGCGACACACATGGCTGCTCGGCCAGCTACAAACACTGGGAGACTTTGGTGGAATGTGGTTAGCAAACAAGATGAAAACACAAGGCAGAGCAGGGGTTGTGGTGTTGCTGTGTAATAGTCAGTTGTGGTCTACATAATTTAAAACATTTCCCCTCTCTGAGGTTGCTCTTACTCTTTCATCACCAACCACAGAAAAAACTGCATTTAATTATAGTGAATAATAAAAAGCATCTGCATTAATGTGATATGTTCCCAATTTCTGTAACGTTGTTTCAAAAACAGGAGCAGATGTCTCCGTAGTTAATATGCCCTTTTTCTGTGGGTAGCCCATTTGGCATCACCCTTTTAAATTCAATAGGCTGTACAATCTAATAACCACATAATGTCAAAATTATGAATAACATGCAACTAGGTATCGGTTTCTGGCTGTTATATTTGCATTCATATCCAATAAGAGAATACCATTGGCTTGCAATATTAGCAAACCAAAGAGCAACTCGTTTATTTGGAATTTCTCAGTGAATGCTCACTGTTCATACACAAACTGTAGGTTAATCTCTGCCACAGATAGGAAATAATAACTGTTATTCAAAAACATTAATTCTGAAACCAGTTTGCAGTCAAATTCACTTCTAAAAGTACAAGTCCATTGCTATCAGAAAGATCAGGTTTCAGTTTTCTGGATTACATTTTTTTTTTTTTTTTAAAGCCAAAGGCATTCTTGGAGACAACTTAAAATCTATTTGCCTGCCAGCAACCAGAATCACTACTGAACTAAGAACTGTTTCTCTATATAGAAACAGAAACTGATATAATAGCGACAAGTGTCGACCTGCTGTAGAGAGAGCCTCCTGGCTATCAAACTTCAATGTAGCAAGAATTGTTTTAGATAAAATTGTACTTTTAATGACTGAAGGCAATGTAATTTCATGCACCTTAACCTTCACAGCAAATGCTTCTTGACATAGCACAGCATAGTTTAATATAGCTATTCAAATCAGAACACAACAATAAGACTAACCCAAAAGAACTATATACTTATACTGGGGCACAAATTCATAATTACTTAGATGTGAGATGATAAAATTCTGAGGCATGGGATTGTCAAGAACAAACAACCCAGGCGTGCCCTTTTTAAAGTCAGATATCAGCTCTGGGCAATTTAAGAAAGACAAAACTACTCAGCAGAAAGGCAAGCGAGGCATGGGAATAGATTGCCAGAGGTGATTCTGGGACCTCAGTGAGAAGATGGATGGCGAATCTCCATCAGGAACAAGGAGGTATCCTTCCCTGAGGCGGGGAGGTGAACTACAGCACCCAGAGGTCACTTCCAGTCCTTTTGTTCTAAGACTTTCAAGTTACTCTGTGGCCATTAGGGAATTCTCACACAGCCCTAAGATATGTTTCCCCAAAGCTAAGGGGATAACAGAAGCAATCTAAAACACGGTCGGGAATGGCCTGATTTTCTCAAAAGGGCTAGGTATTCAGAGAATGCCCACTCTAGGTCTCTCCTGCTCTCCCTTTAAAATTTATTCCTTAAACAGCATGGTAGCTGTAAAGAAAATCTTGCACCTTACCAAGTTAAATCACGGAAGCAACTCATGTCACAGAACCTTTCAGGCAGCAAAAGGGGGAGATCCGTTAAGACACATTCCCACAAGCCATTATTGATTCCTCCTGCAGGTCACCTAGTAATACTCCTTCTAACTACAAATGCTCTGTCAAAAAAGTTTCTATCTACTGCAAGTGAATCAACAACCAATATCTTGATCTACGAATTCAATCTATTTTTTTCCTCTTAATTTCATCCCATAATTCTATTCTTTTCTTTCCTTTGTGTAGGTTTTCTTCCAATATTTTGCAGAACAAGAATTGTAAAGAGAGGAAATGCATTTTGCCAGATGCAGCTGCCCAGTAAACTATCATGGTAGGCAAAGTTAGGACAAGCTTTCACGTGCGCAAACGCTCGCAGTTCCTACATCTGCAATAGTCTCTATCAAGTTGCTACGAAAGTTTTCTAATTTGTAAATCTGCTTCCAAATATTTGTCATGCACTAAACATCTTCCCATCTTTTTGGTAATAAACAACAAGCTGAACTGAAACCAGATTTTCAGAAGGATATTTGCAACTGTTTTTTCTCTTTACACATGAGTTCTATGCACCATTTTGTGTTTTTTTCCCCTCCAGTTTTCTTGTATTTTGCTAGTTTCTAGTTACTCATTCCTGTATGATTAACTTTGAGTGCATCAAAACATATCTACTTGCCACCTATTTCAGACAACCTCATGTCTCTCGATGCTGTACTAAAAGCCTCTTCATCGCCCTGTTTCCTGCAAGTAGGAACATGCAATTTTAAGCAGGAAGAATACAGTTGAACTATTTCAGGAACAACTGGAAACTCTCATGTTTTCTTCAAGATACTGCTACTACAGGTTGGAGACCTAATCTGCATTATCCCTCAGAAGAGCAGAAGTTTATCTTTGTAGCACCACCACCTTGTACAACCAGGAGAACCCAGAAATGGGCTGAAAACAAACCGATATTCTGCTAAGCCACTGGCAATCCAGAACACTATGGCAGATGGGGGAAAAATGGTAAACTCTAAATACACAGACAAATTGCTTCTACTAAAATAAAAATACTATTTAGAAAATTATTTTTATTTCTTTGAAATTGGCTTTGATGAGTCCTGTTAACCAAGTTAAAGGGAATATACACAGGTATGAAAGACTAAATGAACTTTCTTCAGTTCAGGCACACAAATGCACAGGAATATACATCATTAATGAAACACCAGATCTGAATCCCTAAAATCCCATAGATTTTAATAAAATCCAATCTTTCCACCAGTGTATAAATGTGTGGGACCTACAGGACTTTTAAGCTTCAAATAAACTCAATAAAATCTAGTGGAAAAATAAAGAACTAGCTCTTCCCTTACTAGCTTTACTTCTAAAATACAAAATGCAACTGTTACAACAGAGAGAAAAAAAAACAAAAAAGGTTTGTCCAGGATATAAATTTAATACCTTCTTTCAAGATTTCTACAAAAACTGTACTGAAATAATTATATCCCTACAGCACTATTGGAATTTCTTGTTGGCAAGTCAGTACGGCAGATAGATTCAAGCCTGGATTGTTTGTTTTTAAGGGTTGGTTCCACATTTCACATCTGACTGGATGAAGGGATAGTCTGAAGTCAGTGTGAGTTTTATTTTTAAACATCAGCATGCTAAGCACTTCCATTAACTTTCATTCAGACTAGAACTGCTCCAAATTGTGTGGGGAAGGAGCAAAAGAAGAAGTAGATAGTTCCTCAGTCACACTTGCCTTTCTATATCTTTTTAATGCTCATAATATTGGCTTAGGCATTTTAGGTGCTTTTGTAACAAATAGTATAGGACCCAGTCCTAAGCACTTTGCTTTTCCCATGTTTTTTTGGAATGAGATCCACAAGTTTCCATACACCCCACTCCATATACAGGCCTGATATATGGCGGGGGGGAGGTTGAAGGGGTATATACATACATATATACACACACCACCCATAATTCAACAT